AGAGAGAGAGAGAGAGAGAGAGAGAGAGAGAGAGAGAGAAAGAAAGAAAGAAAGAAGGGGGGAGAGAGAGAGAGAGAGAGAGAGAGTGCAATCCAGAGGATTGTCTAGCAGGGCAGCAGAAAGGTATGGAGGTGAGTTGCAGGGTTAGAAAGTCCTGACGAGCTGACGGCAGTCATCGGGGTTGACGTGTCTGTGCAATGGACTGCGGGCCACGGGCAAACCTGGCTTGTGTGACCGGGTTAAGTGGGCCCAGCGGGGTGACGACTCTGGGTAGTTGGTGGGTGCGAGACGAAAGACTGTCCGCACCAAGTCTTGAGATGTGTGGTTAGTTGAAGAAAGAGAGAGACAGAGACTGAGTTGAGGTTTTGGATTTTAAGTGAATTACGATCCTGGCTATTTCTGAAGTGCAAATTCACAAGGAAAGACAATGCCACCTAATTGCAGAAGAAATGAAAGCAATTGCAAAGAGGTAGAGACCAAAGAAGAAGAAGAAGAAGAAGAAGAAGAAGAAGAAGAAGAAGAAGAAGAAGAAGAAGAAGATGTACACCAGCAAGACCATTGACAAATCCCTCTTCTCTCTCCACTTTCCTCCTCCTCCTTGTCTCTCCCAATCTTACTCTTCTCCCAAATAGTAATAATAACAGAGAGCGGTTGAACCAGAATCAATATCCGAAGTTCCCTCTTACTGCCAGCACAACAAGAGGTCCAACATCGTCATGGCCTCCCTCTTCTCCTTCCTCACACAGGCCGAGGCTATCGCGGGCTACTAAGGGCCCAGCCATCCTGTGCAAAAGACAACACAAAGCAGCTATGGGCGCTGCTCTTCCGGCCGCCAAGCCTGACTCTGCCTCGAAGGTTCCTTGGTGCGGAACTACCCCCACTGGGGCCTTCCAGATGCAGCGCCTAACAAGGTGGTTAAGATGGTGTCCACCATAGCCAGGTAGGTACCTCACCACTCTCCTCCTCCGCCCCCTTCTTCCTCCTCCTCAAGAGGGTGTGTGAGACACAAGTGATCCAAATGATCCTCGCAATGCTCAGGTCAGTGAGCCTCCCAAGGATCCTTGCACCCCTCTTGATCACCCTGGTGTTGCCAGTGCAGATGGCATTCACTCTCTGTACCCCTATCTCCCTAATGACGTCCCCCCATAACTTTGCCAGGGTTGCAGCATTGTTTTCGCCGTGAGACACATTCACAGCCCTGATCAGCATAGCTGCGCTCTCACCTTCAGCAGTCAAGTTCAGCAAAGACCTTCTCTGCAATCTTTCACCGTATGGATTTCCAGATATTCTTCTTGTCTGTCACCCATTTGTGATCAGCAGCATGGGCGCATGATGTCCCACTTCTACATAAGTGGTTGTACCTCCTTTACATGCTCGTCGACGATGCCCAAAGCCAATGCCCAGATGGTCTCCAAGTCCGGCACCTGCAACAGGGGCTCTCTATCTCACAACTCCATGCACAGGCCGCAAAGGTCCCGAGTCTTGTCGATTCCGATGTCGCTAAACGGGACGCTGGACCTGTAAGACCCCTGCACCGACCGACCCAAAATCCAACCTTTTGTGTGCAGAGTTTTCAGTCCACCTGCATATTGAAGTCTGGGTTGTCATTTCAGACTTGGCAGGCATGGTGGATGCCTACCGTCCTCACCCCAATAGAACTCCCGGTAATTTGAGCTGCATTTGGCACAACTTTCAGTCCAGATGCAGCGATAATGAGCGGGCGTTTTATTCGGGTGAAGACGGTAACAGAAAGGCCCAGCCTGCACCTCTTCTTCATCACCCCCCTCCCTAGCACCCTCCACTAACCTCGTGCGGACACCTCTTTCGTGGGAACCGGCGGGAGTCATAGATGCTCCTCCAAGGGCCCCGCTATGTCAGACTTGGCAGGCATCGTGGGCGGTTGGCAGAAAGGCCCAGCCTGCACCACTTCTTCATCGCCCCCCTCTTTCGTGGGACCAGGCGGAAGTCATAGATGCTCCTCCAAGGGCCCCCTTCCTTTCAAACCAGGCAGGCATCGTGGGCGCCTGGCAGAAAGGCCCGGCCTGCACCACTTCTTCATCACCCCCCTCCCTAGCGCTTTCCACTGACCTTGTGGCATCAGACACCTCTCCCGTGGGAACCGGCGGAGATCATCGATGCTCCTCCAAGCTCCCCCAAGCCCTGAACACCATAGTTCTTGCCAGGCCTGTGTCATTCGAGATTTTCTTCTACATCCTGTACTGATAAAGCACCTACAATAGATTGGGACTACCACCCTCCATCCCAACAGTGTCTCCCCGATCCAATGTGCATGGCTTGCTCTTCGTCCAGACGTGGACGACCACACGTTTTGGGGATGCCACGTCTCTCCAATTAGCCCGTCTCCGGCTGTGACACAAATGCAGGCCTGGAACCCGCTAGTTTTTTCCATCCCTAGCTCACATTGCTCCCTCTATTGCTCAAACTGGCCATAACGCTGAAGGAGGAGGAAAGAAAGGAAGAGAAGAGAAGAAAAACACCAAAATAATGGTTTTTCCCACATGCATCAAGGGTTGGAATCGATGGATAAATGCAAGGTTGGGATCGATTGTTGAGTGGCGTGTCAGGATGGGTACATGAATGGAGGATCGGGATGGATAGATGAATGTCAGGATGGGTGGCTGGAGGGTGCGGATGGATAGATGGACAGTCGATACGGATACATGAATGCCCGGGTGGAAAGTGGGAATGGATGGATGGGTGGAAAGTGGGAATGGATGGATGGGGGGTCCAGATGATTGAGTGGAGGGTCAGGATGGATGGATGGATGGATGCTGGGATGGATGTATGAATCTCCAGATCGATGGACAGAGGGTACAGACGGATGATGAGGGGAGAGATGGATGGACGAATACTGCGATAGTAGGTGGGGGGTCAAGAGGACGGAAGGGTTGGGGTGCATGGGTAGAGGGCCAGGATGGGGGGATGGAAGGTTGGGAAAGGTGCATCAGGTGCTGAGATGGATGAATGGAGAGTCAGGATGGGTGGATGAATGTAGGGATAGATGGGTGGAAGGTCAGGATGGATGGAGGGTTGAGTTGGATGGATGGATGAATGGATGATGAAACATGAGCAAGATGGGGGAGAAGGGGTAAG